GTGAGATGAATGCAATTGTGTGGTAGTTTGAACATTCTTTGGCATTGCCTTTTTTTTTGGAATGAAAACTGGCCTTTTCCAGTCCTGTGGCCACTGCTGAGTTTTCCAAATTTGCTGAAATATTGAGTGCAGCTCTTTAACAGTATCATCTTATATCATTTGAAATATCTCAACTGGAATTCCATCACCTCCACTAACTTTGTTCATAGTGATACATCCCAAGGCTCACTTGACTTTGCATTCCAGGATGTTTGGCTCTGTGTGACTGATACTGTGTATGAATATATAGAACAAAACAGAATCCTCACTTTACTTCCCTGTCCCTGGCCCTTGGAATTAGTACCGTCATTGTTGGAAGGTTTGAGAAGAAGTCCTCTTAACTACTCCCACTAGACCCTCTCTACTCAGAGAGGAAATGAAATGCAATATCTCATCCCTGGAGAAAAATACAACGATTAGTGTTTCATCAAACCTTAAAAATATAAGGGTGAGGATCCTAGTTTATCATCTTTAACTGGTGTCTTTGAAGGGAAAGGACTGAGATCTTCAAAGTCCAGGTCATGACTGAACAAGGCTTATAGGTAGATAAGTTGAAGAAAGGGTGCAGGACTAGTCTTGAGAAATAAAATGAAGGGGTCAGTTTGTAGTAAAAACAGATTTATATCCCTTAACCTTACAGTTTAACAGGTTCACACTAGCATTAACATTTGAGGGATAAACAATTCATTTTGCATTGCTTGTATTCGTGCTTAGTTTGCAGAGGAGCCTGAGAGACTGGAATATTTTAATGCATCTTCAAAGTAATAGACAGTTCAGAAGATGTCCTAAACCCTTTATGCTCACACATATGTACACACTCTAGCTGCACATGCTTATACTGGAGGCTCAAACTAATCAGGTGAATGATGTGATCTGCTCTGTGAGTGTTAGACAGCCTCCTTCTCCACATACCCCAGCTCATGTTCATGGCACCCTTGTATGAAGTGGCCATTGAAGTTGGAATGGTCTCAATGAGATAATCTCCTTATTACTGGCATTATATGGCTAATACTGCAGTTAAATGTCCAAAATGCAAATTACAGAGATTCCCCATTATGCCTCTGAAACACTATCAATTTCTTGGAGGGTAGCAGGATGATTAAAGTAGACAACTTATAAATTAACAATTGCAGAGGTGATGACTTTCCTTCTATAAATAGCTGCATATTGGGAGACTTATTTCCTTTACATATTCATTTTACTATTAGTTTATTTCTTCCCCACCAGTACCTATAGATGTAGACTTACATAATGTCATCTTCGTGATTCTCCACCAAAAATTACTTCAACCAAGAAACACATTGAATGACAGAGGAATAGTAACCATCTCTTCCAATCCACAGAAATAACTCATAATACTATTTGTATAACTACTTAGAATTAGCTGTCCTGATAAAATAATGAAAGATATTGCTAAATGCCCTGGGTTCATCCCATAATTTTATGTTCATGAAAACTCAGTCGTTGTTGTTGAGGTGTCTTCTAATTATGCTACAAACTTAAAAGAGCAGCATATTTATGACTCATTTTCCCTTAGCAGTTATGTATATCTTTATGATCCAAGAAGAAGAGGTGGGCATGACCCACATGGTAACCAGAAAATAACCTTGCAAAATTGGTGTTTGCTCTGGGTCAGGAAGATCCTCTGGAGAAGGGAATAGCTACACATTCCAATATTCCTGCCTAGAGAATTCCATGGACAGAGGAACCTGGCAGGCTACAAACCATGGGGTCACAAAAAGTCAGACACAATTGAGCAATTAATACACACATTTGCAGGATCATGGCTAACACAGCTTCTTTTACTATTATATGATGTACCTCAATGAGAATTTAATTTTCCTACCCATAACCATATACTTAGTATATTTGGATGTCTATGTGCACAAAGATGAGATGCTTCCCCAGGGAAACACCCTCAGGTATTCTGGTCATTGGGAATTCAGGAAGCACCCTGAATTTCAGCTCCTCCTGCACCAAACTGACAGGAATCATTCTTCTGGGGAGGGAAAATGATGCCAATCACTAGAGAAAAATTGGTTGATGCTATAAAATGAGATAAAAAAGAATTATGTTTGAAACCCAGAAGACTTAGCAGTATATTTCTTAGTTTCTTATTAGTCTTCTCTTTCAAAGAAAAAGTAGTACAGCAAATAAAAAGAAGATAATAAAAAGACTCAATTCTAATAAAAATTGGACAATGTACTAGGTAACTCTCATTCAAATGAGGTACTGAAAAAGACTAGATGGACCAGACTCATGGAAGAACTGAGGTTAAAAGAGATTTGTTTTGTAATTACAGCTATTGAAAGTTATAGTAGTAGAGAGTTTGATAAATTTCAGCTATATAGATCCTGTTACTTCACTTCTTTTCTTCTTATTCTTTTCTGAATGTGAATAGAAAAGCCAAATAGTATCATTTTGGAGAATTTCACAAGTCCTACTATCAGAAGTGCCCACTGTTTATTGTCTATGCATTGAAAAACCACTAGAGATAATTTTTAAAAATAAAACAAGTCAATCCAAGAGAATTTTTTTTTTTTTTTGGTATGGAGAACACCCATAAACATATGTACTTAAAAATGTTTATTAAAACTCATAGACCCAAAGACACAATAGAAACTACTTTAAGACTTTGGACTTCAGTTGTAATTTGAGTAATAAAATTCCTTTAGGAAACTATTGAATTTTTAATTGAAAGTCACTCAGTTCAGCTCAGTTCAGTTGCTCAGTCATGTCCAACTCTAAGGGACCCCATGGACTATATAGTTCTTGGAATTCTCTAGGCCAGAATACTAGAGTGGGTAGTCTTTCCTTTTTCCAGGGGATCTTCCCAACCCAGGAATCCAGCCCGGGTCGGTCTCCCACATTGCAGGCAGATTCTTTACCAACTAAGCTAAGGAAGCCCACTTTAATTCAAATTGATATGGAGATTTTTTGAATACTCTATGACCATAAACTGCATATGAAAATCTACCAACAGCGCTTAGAAACTTAATGTAAATATTACATTATTCCAAAGCTTTATCTAAAATATTAGTACCATGTGTTCAATTACAGTTTTATTCTATTTTTAGATATTTTGTCTTCCTAAGATTATTACTAGCTGTAGTCTATCTTCTTACCAGGGTCTTGTTAATGTTATTTAGAGTTGATTCTGAAGTTGAGTTCACTTTTCCATACACAAAATATTTTAAATATACACTTAAACTGCTGAAAGGTGTAGTATCTGTTACATATTGATAATTACTTGGACGATGGGACTTGGATGTTTCTCCTAAATGAATGAAATTATCTTAGAAAAGGAAATTTTCACCAGTAGTTAAATATATTTTTCTGTACTTAAATGTTGGGATTTATAATACTAGGATATTTAAGAATAGGTTTACTATATCAGTTTTACATTTTGTAACTGATGTGTCCTTCTAGGATAATAAATTTTCTATTTTCAATTAACCAACATTAAATAGTTGATTTTATGCCACTATAATAGATCAACTAGGTCTTTTAACTAGTTAAAAGTATAGTTTATAGGAATTTTATGATTGATAGTGAGAAATAGAGACATTTTTTAGGAAATGAGATTCTGGGTTGGCATTAATAGCTTTCCTTTTTGGAACATTGACTAAACCAAGAATCTTGAAATTGCACTAAGGGTCCATGTTTCTATTGCATTTCTGTGGGTTACAACTAGCTGGGATTATATTCCTTGGATTTAATATTTAGCTTAGTATGCATTACTTNCAGTGTTGGTCAGTGTTTCCTGCTCTTAGAAGACTTCCTGGAATTTTGGGGAATGCTTGCTTAAATTTCACATTTTTTACATATTTTTTGTTGTTGTTAATGTTTAAAACAATAGAAACAAGGGCATTATTCACTTTTTGATTGACTAAAATTGCACTAATATGATCTCACTTTTAAAAGTCAAAATTATTATCATTATTCTAAATTCTTTTTCAGGTAGATTCCCTGTTTCCTCCTCTTTTGTTTGACTTGGTGGGCTTTTTTCATGTTCCTTTACCTGTTAGGTATGGGAAAAATAAATAAATAAATAAAAATAAAAGTCAAAATTATATGCGTCTCATCATATTTCATCTTTTGTTTGATCACTACTTGTATATATTCCTTCTATAACTTTTTATTTTGGGTAATGTTTACTCATGGAGATAATTCTCTAGTTGTTTCACCTCACTATAGTTATTAGTATTTTTATTATTATTACTGTGTCTTGATGCTCAGAATATCATAATTTGGGGGTAGATAGCCTTGTAGGTTCACCCATATAATTAAAATAGAAGCCCAGGGAGATATAATGTGATTCACAAGTATGATACTTATGAGAAGGTGACCAAGTTTTCTTTATTGAGGAACATGCAAACAGACATGTAGCTTGGAGAGGTCACACTTCCTGAACTATGGTTGTACTGAGTTATTTGTTGGGTACCACTGGGCCTTTGTGTTAACATTTCTCCGGAGAATAAAGGACATATAAAAATGCTTTAGAAATTCTGTTCTAGGAATAAAAGTTATGATTTTAAGTAGTTGAGTGGTATCAAAATATTAAAATTTAATTCAATATATTTCCTATTTTAAAGAAATAATTATTGGATACTATTCTATAGATATCAATCAAAAATATTATCATTCTAGAGTAGGCTATTTTGTCACTTCATGAGATAGAAGACAGGTTTTGGTTTTAAGCTTTTTGGTTGTTTTCAACCTAAAGTAATATAAAATTCAAAACAAATGATTATATTTTGTATTTAAATTTTATCTCTTTTAAATTGAGCTTATTTTTTTTCATCTTAGGCCTCTTGACTGGCCTTGAACCAAGGGTGCAGATTCATGAACTGGCATCGTCAGGACTCTTAACCCTAAAGGAATACAATGGCAGCTCTCCTTGAAATACAATAGCCTGCTCAAAAATTGTCTCTACATCTGCTTAAAAGGAGAGAAACTATTTATTTGAAGAGTTTATTCATGGTCTCTTTCACACCCTTATTCCTCAAGCCATAAATCATGGGGTTCAACATAGGAAACACCATGGTGTAAAATGCAGAAACTATTTTACCACCATCAAAAGAATAGTTAAAGCATGATGCGAGTAGATGTAGAGAATGGAGCCATAGTACAAGGTGACAGAAATCAGGTGGGAGAAGCAGGTGGAGAAGGCTTTGAGGCGGCCCTGGGTGGAGCAGATCCTCAAGATGTTGGCGATGATGAAGAGGTAGGAAGCAAATATGAACACAGCAGGGGCAATGCCATTAGAGGCCAGGAGGAAATACAGCAGAGCCTGGTAGCCATCCTTCTTGCCACAAGCTAACTTCACCAGGGGAAGCAAATCACAAAACAAGTCATCAATGACATTGTCATTACAGAAGCTCATGGTAAACGTTCTTTTGGTGATGACAGAACAGTTAATAAAGCCACCAAGGTGTGAGGCAGCTACCAAGAATGCACATAGCTTTATGGGCATGGCCTGAGAATAAATAAGTGGCTTTATTTATTTAAATTTATTATTACATTTATTATTAAATTAAATTATTAAACTATTGTTAAATTTATTTATTTAAATAGATGGCCATATAGCAGTCATAAGCCATGGTGGCCAGCAGGTAGCACTCACTGTATGCCAGCCCACCAGAGAAGAAGAACTGGGCTACACAGCCAGCAAATGAGATTCTCTTGTCTTCAGAGAGGCAGGTCAGTAGGATCTTTGGAGTGTAGACAGAGGGATACCAGAGATCCAGAAAAGACAGATTCCCAGTGAAAAAATACATGGGTGTGTGCAGTCGGGAGTCATTACAGGTCAGGACTATAAGGGCGGTGTTTGCTAGAACAGTCATATAGTCGACACCAAGCAACACCACAAACAGGACCAGCTGCATCCTGGGGTCTGTCGTGAAGCCCACCAGGATGAAGTCCATCACTGTAATTGCTTCTCTCCATGGCTACAGGGAATCTTACCTAAGAAGAGAAAAAACAAGTTCAGCTTGCATCACTGTGCTGAATACATATGAAAAATGTGAAATAAAGACTACTATATCAGTGTCATACCTAGAAACCTATAATCCAAAAATGTCCACTTCGGAAAGTATTTTCATTTTGTAACAAACCACTGTTTACAGTTATATATATTTTTCTCTTTCTTTTTTTAAAACTAATTTTATTTTTTATTGAAGGATAATTGCTTTACAGAATTTTGTTGTTTTCTGTCAAACCTCAACATGAATCAGCCATTGGCATACATACATCCCCGCCCTTTTGAAACTCCCTCCCATCTCCCTCCCATCCCACCCCTCTAGGTTGATACAGACCCCCTGTTTGAGTTTCCTGAGCCATGTGGCAAATCCCAGTTGGCTATCTATTTTACATATGGTAATGTAAGTTTCCATGTTATTCTTTCCATACACTTAAGTACATTAAATTTTTCAATAGTTTATTTGATAAAATATATCTTCGAATCAGGTAACTGCCAAAGTAGTTAAGAGCACTCCATGGATAGGACCTAGAGATGTTTTTACAGAGAAAATACAGAGCAGAATGAGGAAGTCATTTAGTTGGCTCTAGATTAATTGGTTGCTTATTTGGAAACAAATAATAAGCAAAAACCCTAGCTGGCTGTTTCTGATTGTTGTCCTCAACTTCATTCTGTGGGATCAAGTGGACTGACTGTGGTTTAGTGCCTAATTTGTTTACAGTGGTTATCAAGGTATGAATGAGACACACTTCGCTGTTTTGGCTTCCTTGTTTAATGGCTTTATATTTGATTCCAAATTTCTGAAGTTGGTTAATTTATTTTACCTCTTAAGATGACCATTCAATTAAAAGATGGATGAACTCATCATTCCTATTTACTGTAATTTAGCATTCTTTATAATGTCAATTTGCTTTTTGCTAAGTGCTTGACTTTTTAGCTTAAATTGTAACTTTTTTTGCATCTGAAATGCTGAATTCCATGTATTTTCATTATATTTTCAAAAGAATAACTATTTTTTCTTTCAGTGCTTTTGTATACTGGAACACTGTTCACCAAATCAAATTCATATGCCATAATAATATCTATGTGGATAAGAAAGTATCCAGATTTTAAAAAGGGAATATTTACAAAATTTGTGGGAAAATATATACTGAAGGATGATATAAAATGACAAGATTATAAAATATACAGGGTTAACTATTCTCTACATATTCTAACAGTAAAAAATATATTAGCAATAATCTAAAGACACAGTTTACATGGAATGTATACCTAATGCATAATTAATGTAGTACTAGAAACATGCATTAATTAAATTTTTGCTGCTTTTATAATTTTTTATTATTAAGGATTTTTCCCCCCCCAAGAAACAATAAGCAAAACCAAAAAACCTGAAAAAAAAATGGGAAAAAAAGGAATCCAACCGAAGAAAAAAAAGATTGCCACTCTTTTCAAGATTCCCTGAACATAGATTATAGGTGTTCTAAAACACTGTTCACCAAATCAAATTCATATGCCATAATAATATCTATGTGGATAAGAAAGTATCCAGATTTTAAAAAGGGAATATTTACAAAATTTGTGGGAAAATATATACTGAAGGATGATATAAAATGACAAGATTATAAAATATACAGGGTTAACTATTTTCTACATATTCTAACAGTAAAAGATAAGTTAGCAATAATCTAAAGACACAGTTTACATGGAATTTATACCTAATGCATAATTAATGTAGTACTAGAAACATGCATTAATTAAATTTTTGCTGCTTTTATAATTTTTTATTATTAAGGATTTTTCCCCCCTCAGGAACCATTAGGCAAAGCCACATATCTTGGAATATAATTGTGAGAACATGTATTCCATCTGATGATATAGATGTTTGCCACTCTTTTCAAGATTCCCTGAACATAGATTATAGGTGTTCTATTGAAATGGATAGGCAGGAATATATCTAGCTATTGTGCATTTGTATTACACTTAAGAGACAGCTCCAGTCACATTAACTTCCCACCAATCTGTCACTATATGTCTAAATAAACAAAAATTCTGGTGAATAGAATGTTGTTTCTCCTTCGTCTTAGAACTTATAAAAACATTCCATTTGCACTAGACTATTAATATTTAATGAAACTTACTTCTGAGTAAACTATTAAAATGTATAAGATTGTTCCTCCTAGCTTTTTGTCACTCATACACGCTAAAGGTTTCTTCATCAAGGCTGAAACACCAAGAAAACCTAAATCCAATGACCGTTCTAATCCTCACCTGATTTGATCTTTAAACAATATTTGAAATAGTTTATCAGGCCTTCCTGCTGAAAATATTCTCTTCACTTTGTTTGCAGGTTATCAGACTTGATTTGATTTTCTTCTATTTCTAAAGCTGCATATACTCAGTGCTATCCACCCACCTCCCCTCCCCCCACCAACTGCCATTTTGAATTTTGGCAAGTCCCAGAAACAACCCTTGAATCCCTTCTCTTTTCCACCCATGGTTACCTCTTGGTGGACCATACAGTTTAATGACTTTGAGTTATCTCTATATATGAGACCCTATCTCCCTATCTACCTATGTCATCTCTTGACTATTTTTATTCTCTGAACTTCAGACTCATGAATCTAAATGCCTACTTAACATTAGGAAAGACTGTTTCTAATATCTTCCCTAAGCTTACGTTTGTCTCAAACATTCACTGCAATAAATACATTATATCCATTTAAAAATAATCACTGGATGCTTTGAATTCCTTTTTGTCTTCTATCCTGTAGGTGACTAATCAGCAGCATCTTGATTTTATCTACAAATACATTTAGAGCCTGACTAGTTGTTCCCAGCTCCCCCCTACTCTGACCACTCTCATCTCACGTTTGCCTTATTGCACAGCTTCCTAATGGTCTTCCCGCATCCTCTCCACTTCCATCCCTACCTCACTTGAGTCTTTCAATAAGGCAGCCAGAGTTATCCTGTTAAAATACCAGACAGATTATGTTGCTTTTTACCTTCAAACACTCCAGTGACTTCAGAACTTATTCAAAGTAAAGCCCAAATCTTTATAAAGTTGCACAAGCTTATTCCCCTCCTGCTTCTGGCTCCTACTGGCCTCCCTTTCACTGCTCACTCCACTCCATCCCTGTCACCCTCCTTTCAGTTCCTGGAATAAACTGAGCTTGCTAAAGAACCGTGGAGTGCTCCCTCCTATACTTAGAGCATCCTTACTCAGATATCTTTGTAACAAACACTCTCCCTTTTTACAGGTGTCAATTATTAGCAATATCACTCCTTTTCAGGTGTTTCTGAATCAAAGTACTATAATCCACGTCTTTGACATGTCTTATGTCTTTTAAACTTTATTATTCTCCTTAGAGCTGCTTATCTATTACTGTATACATATCACTGGGGCTTCCCTGGTGTCTCAGATGGTCACTAATCTGCCTGCAACATTGGAGACCTTGGTTTGATCCCTGGGTCAGGAAGACCCCCTGGAGAAAGGAATGGCAACCCACTCCAATATTCTTGCCTGGAAATTCTCTTGGACAGATGACCTAGTGGGCTACAGTCCATGGGGTCTCAGAGTCAGATACAGTTGAGCAACTAACACACACATATAATCTCATTATTTTAAATTTTTCTGTTTGCCCATCATTAGAATATATTATTTCCTGTATGATTTTAATGGAAAACACATATCAGTTCCATGTTTATCTCATCTTAATTCATAGGCTTGTTAAGAGGTTTAATGGGTTGCTTATTTTACATGAACCACAATAGAAATTTAGAACTATATTGTGGCTGGGGAAAATCTTTGAAAGCATGATACATGGATAATAAAAGTGGTCCCTATTTCTGTGGGGAAAATACCTGAACTCAATCTTAAACTTAATATTCTCTTTTTATTCTCTGGTTCTCAAGATTATATTACAATCTTATTATTTGTAAAATGATAGTTAATTTTGAATGCTTTACTGTGAATCAAGCACTGTGCTTACTGTTTCACAACATTTTGAAATTTATTTCTGCAACATCAATCATATGCACATTTAAAGAACAAAAGTATTGAAAATTAGAATTTTTCAGAAGACCAAACTGAGTTTTAATAAGTAGAAAATAATTACACAATTAGTAAAGAGTATTATCTTACTCCAGAGACCTGGTACTTAACCACTGAGTCACCTCCTTTAATACCTGATGTTAGGCTGAGAGTTCCTTGTGAGCGTTATCGGTCCCTGTTCTTCTGGTTATAACACCTGAACTCAACACCAGTAATATGATGCTGAGAGAATCAGATTCTGTCAGCAGGAGTACCTCATGATGTAGTTTCAGATAAATGCTTCTAAGCAGTGTCCAAATCATTTCTGCAGTGTCCTATGTCTCTTATACTTTCAGCAAACCTTGACTGTGAGTACAGAAACATTATACTCACCTCACCCATGTCCAGGTCACTTACCTATAACTCACAGTCACAGCTAACAAAAGACCATACAGTGGATCCAGATAACTTATACTTGCTCAGGTTTCCCTGTGCATATGATTCCCAAAGTACTTTAGGATGTACAAACTTTTTGGTTAATTGCCTTTTGATCTCTAAAAGGCAATTAACCAAAAAGTTTGTCAGTTTATTTAGAGGTGAAAAAATGGAATATTTTCTGTCATCTCAGTAAATAAAGGATGTCACAGTCACTAGCAATTGCAGCCACCAGGTTGGTTAACTGTTGAGCCCTGAGGGAACTCAGGAAAGAAAAGAATACCTGCCATCTAGCAGCCATCAGACTGCAGTCACTCCCTAGGTGAATTCTAAAGAAACTTAGGATGTGAAAACACATGATACTGGCCCCAGATAGCTGAGGCACAAATCAAAGGCAAGATTTTGGAGAGCCCAGATGCTTGCAACTTCCCATACATAGAAAAGTGCTCAATTCTTTAACTTGAGATATCTGGTTTGATTTCATTTACAATTTTTTTTTTGGATGTTCAAACTACCTGCCCTTTGTTGCAAAGATCACTACACATCCTAGCTCCTTCCCTTTCCTCCTGGAGAAATTTCTCAGAGCCCTCTGAAAGGTTATCTCTTGGACCATACTGTGCTTAGTTGCTCAGTCATGTCTGACTCTCTGCAGCCCCATGGACTGTAGACTGCCAGGCTCCTCTATCTATGGGGATTCTTCAGGCAAGAATACTGGAGTGGGTTGCATGCCTCCAAGACCCTCCTTCAGGGAGTCTTCCCAACCCAGGGATGGAACTCAGGTCTCCCACATTGCAGGTGGATTCTTTACCATCTGAGCCACCAGGGAAGCCCAAGAATATTGCAGTGGGTAGAATACTCCAGGGGATCTTCTAGACCCAGGAATTGAATTGGGGTCTCCTGCATTGCAGATGAATTCCTTACCAGCTAAGCTACCAAGGAAACCCCTAATGTATAAGTAGAATTTGAAATAGTTTATCAGTCCTTCTTGCTTGCAACAGTCTCTTCCTCAGATTTCCAGGTAATCACACCTGCATGGACTTTCTCCTACTTCTAAAGCTGTATGATCTCAGTGTATTGCCCCCAGGTTGGAATTTTGGAGAACCCCAGAATCAACCCTCAAATTTCTTCTCTTTTCCATCCACAATCACTCCCTGGTGGACCATACAGTCTAATGACAGCAAATACTCTCTGTAGTCTTATCTATGTGTCTATCTGTCTACCTACCTATTATCTCCTGACCATTTTCCTTCCCTGAAGTTCAGATTCATGGATACAAATGCCTACTTAACATCTCTTATAGGATGTCTATTGGGAAGTTTAGGAAAAACTGTCTTCCTAAGAATCCTTCCTAAGCCTGCTTTTCTCTCAATCTTCTTTGCTGCAGTGAAGGCATTATCTTAATTTAGGGGAAATAATCAGACATCTTTTACTTCTTTTTGTCTTTTAAACTGTAGCTAATTGGCAACATCTTCATTCTACCTTCAAAGTATATCCATAACTTAACCCACTGCTCCCAGTTTCAGTGATTCCACCCTACACTCACCCACACTAATTTCACTTTTGTATTATTGCAATTTCCTAATGGCCTCCCTACTTCCTCTCTACTTCCATCCTTACCTCATTTGAGTGTCT